CTTCTGTGTTTGTATATTGATTTCACTCCTTACAAACAAGTAAAAGTCCCCCTCTATCATTACTGGATGTTTGCTGTAATATTAAAGGTTTTGAACAAACCTTTAAAGTCTTGAAAAGCTGCACAAGTCAGAAATACAGGAGCAGCTAAATGCAGAAAATGTCTAGATGACACTGTTAGAGTTCATCTAGATCCCATGTGTGCTTAAATCCCTGCAGACTGAAGGCCTATGGTAATCCTTTTCCAATGTTACAAACAGGTTTCTAAAATTTAGTTTGGACAAAAGAAAAATCAAGGAACTAGTTAAAGTAACTTTCTATACTTTCTGCCTGAAGACTCAAAGGAGGTGCTACCATCATTTACTTCAACAAACATTGTGTTAATTAGATTAGAACTGGAAATTTGAATGCTGAGTTATTTGTTTAAAATAAAAGTGACAGGGTACAAAAATAGGTTGCTACTTCCAAGCCACAGAACAGCCTGGGAGGAAAAAAACACATCCAAGCAAAACTATGAAAATTGGGGGGGTGTTTTACAATTCTATATCCAATAAAAAATTTCACCTTATAAAAGTTATACAAATCCTATTTTTTTCCTAGTTATTCTTTAAAATACAATGCTCAGCATAAGAGTTTCTCAGGAATTAAAGGCCGCACCCACTAAGTAGCTCAGATATTCCTGGTTTAGAAAAACTCATAAGCAGAAGATCATCTGATCAGCCCATAAAACAGATTTAATTTTTATAGTAATTGGCTAAATTATTAGTCACATTTCTGGATATGTTGAAAACTACCATGTGCCTAAGACAACACAGTCGGTAAGTGTGACTAAATAGTCATTGAATTCCTAATCCAAAATTTTCCACTAATTCTGTCTTGTTGCTTGTCTGCTAATAAACAACAAACAACTGTGTATGAAATATCACTGATCCCCAAGCATTCTAGGGCTCAGGGCCCCTAGTCTGAAGTTTTCTCACAATGAATATGCTTGTAATTTGCTTTTCACATAAAACTGAGCACGTTGTTAAGTGCTTTTTGGCAACCACAACAGCTTGATATTTAAGTTATTTTCATGTTTATTGTAAGGTAAAAAATCCAGAAGCTGCAGCTCCACAAAAAAACCACCAAAAATCGTGACACTTATAATACTCTTAAATCCAGTGATGAGACATATGGAAAAAAGAAGTGATACAAGATGTTTAAAAAGCTGCTTATTTGTTTTCATCATGACATATCAAATAGACCTATCCAACAATTTTAGCATGTACGATAAAAGGGCTCTTTTATCAAAAGGAATTAAGGCAAGACAGGCTGAGAAACAGAGTCCCGGGACATCAAAAGGAAAAAGGAAACAATTCACTTGCCTGCAGGAAAAGGAAAACCTCATTTAACTAAACACCCAGGAGAAAAGGCAGTGTGTTCATAGCTTGAGAAGTTCCATCAGTGGTACAATTTACCCTCTTGATTCCATCAAAAGGTGAATGAGTGCACACACACATGAGGGCAAGCAGCTACATTCTGTTCTTTGTGGCAGTCACGCAGCCCAGGCGTGAGCAACCAGAGCTTAACCAGAGATTCCTATTTTACCTCTCTGGGTGTTCATTACGTGGATGTGAAAGATGGCAGTGCTTGTCCCATATTTCTTCCACTGCTGCATCATCTCAGGCCATTCTCGTGAGATGGATTCAAGGCACTGTGAAGACAAGAACAAGTGACGCCCCCCTCACACACACTTCCCTGAAGGAATGCTGTAAAGGTGAGCTGTAAGTGCTCAGCCAGCACAGACAGGCTGCAGTCCAGCCCCGTGCTCACACGTAGCCTCCCATTCACTGAAGCAGAATTTCACAAGGGCAACTGGGGCAGAGTGCAGCCACTGTGTTTCAAAACATTTGCAGAATGTTTGGATGTAATTCTTTGAGGAGGATTTAATTTTCTTAATGAGTCTGAGTAAAATCATTAGCTGCCACAGTTGCACAGGGAATACTTCAGGAGATTTCATGAGGCATAATTCAGCAGAGCAAAACAACACAAAGTCATACTTGTTGAACACACTATCTCAGAACAGAGCAGGCTGTTCCTCTAATATTTCTCCCACACTGAACAAACCAACCACACTGATTGATTTTACCGTTCCAGAAACTACACAGAATTTTTTTCTTGACAATATAATTAATATTCCTTCTCATATCATGATTTTATAATAAACACTCTATTGTAGTGCCTTCATCCCTGAAACCAAATTAAAGAATTCTTTTGATAAATGGAAAAGTAGAAATCTTAAGCAGATGCCTTTGGAACCAGGTCCTTCTCAGTGTTCATTCATCATATAACATTTATTTGCTTTCTTTTAGTGGCCAAAGTTCTGAATACTATTCTCTGGGAAATGACTGTCATGGTGCCTGGATGAACTGTACTGGCCACAAGTCCAGCCGTTCTGGAGTCCAAGTGAGGGAAGCATGACTTGGTTGCATCATTCTCCACATCTCCCTCCACCTGATTCACCTTTCTGACACTTTCCCCACCCTAACTGGCCACATTCACACTTGCCACCTGCTCGGCCCAACTCAGCACAGCTCACGGCTTGTGCAAGCAACAGCCTGTTCCAATCTTTCAGCAGGAAGCAAGAGGCCCATGGGAACAGTGGGCACCCTCCAGAACGGGGCAAAACACTTTCCAAAATAACCATGTGTATGACCTGTTGTAAAAACTGGCCCTCCTGGGGTTTATTCCTCATTGCCTCTGCCTGCCAGCAAAGAACATGACCCTTTCAAAGCAGCACCGACTCACGTGGCAGGGAGCCATAGGAAAGGTAGCACTTCAGGCCAGCACTCCCTTTCCCCTGCTTTAACCTTCATAATCAAATATCAAAAAGAATGAAAACAATCTGTGGCTGCAGCTGATGGTGCATTACATTTTCTGTTCTCACCAGCACATTTTATAGGTCACCGTTTGGCCAAGGAAACATAACACGGTGTTCCTTCACCTCCTCCCCCTTGCCCCCCTTTTTAAATTTGAAAACAGGTATCTTCTTCCAAGCTAAATACTTTTAACTACTGAACTTCACAGAAAAAGAAGGTCATAAGCTGACTCATCAACAGCCTTAATAAATGTACTAAAGATCCTGAACAGGACATCAGATCACATAAGTTATAAATGCCAGGTACAGAGATAACTCACCCCCCAGGAGAACAGGTGTATGTATTTTTAAGGTTTACCATGATTTATGAAGCAATAAACATATTACTCCATGCCAAGATGTCCTGTGCCTGATATTCCCCTGCTTATGGTCCACGTACATCTATGTACATCTTCTACAGATCATGCACAGTATGAGCTTTCAAATAAATCAGAGCATATCCCTTGGTGTGAGGCATAAACACACAACAGTTGACTTTTAGAAGCTGACCTGCTAAGTTCACTGAGAGTGAGAAGGACAGTTGCTAAAAACAGTCTAAGCCTTTATCCAAACAATTTGTATTCCAAGCCTTAAAAATACAGAAAAAAATGTCCTTTGTAGTTACTATTTGGCACCACCAGCTGGATGCTCTAAGGAACTAAAATAAGGATTTTTACTGCTTAAAACTGGAAATACCAGCAGCATAATCTTGTGATTTGTGGTCCTGTGGACTATTTTGTCTTGCTGGTAAAGTGTCAGTTGTAAATACCTGGTAACTTCTGCACAAGAGGAGGGACCTGCTGACTCTCATTTGTGTTGAGCAGCTGTGTGGTGGGTTGACTCTGGCTGGACACGAGGTGCCCACAAAAGCTGCTCCATCACTCCCCTCTTCAGCTGGACAGGGAACAGAAAATACAATGAAAGGCTCATGAGTTAAGGACAGGGAGAGATCACTCACCAGTTACTGTCATGGGCAAAATAGACTTGGCTTAGGGAAAAATAATTTAATTTATTACCGACCAAATTAGAGTAGGATAATGAGAAATAAAACCCTAATCTTAAAACACCTTCCTCCCAACCCTACCTCTACCCAGGCTTAAATTTATTCCCAATTTCTATTTCTCCTTCCCCGAGTGGCACAGGGGGATGGGGAATTTGGGCTGTGGTCAGTTCATCACACCTTGTTCTCTCTTCCTCAGAGGGAGGACTCCTCACACTCTTTCTCTGCTCCCACAGGGGTCCTTCCCACAGGAGACAATTTTCCATGAACTTTTCCAATGTGAGTCCTTCCCAAGGGCTGCAGTTCTTCGTGAGCTGCTTCAGCAGGGGTCCCTTCCACAGGGTGCAGTCCTTCCAGAACAGCCTGCTCCAGTGTGGGATTCCCATGGGATTCCACCCTCCCTTGGGCAGTCACCTGCTCTGGTATAGGGTCGCCTCTGGTCTGCAGGAGCACAGCTGCCTCACCATGGTCTGCACCACGGGCTGCAGGGGAATCTCTGCTTCAGAGCCCAGAGCACCCCCTCCCTCTCCTTCTTCACTGACCTTGGTGTCTGCAGGGCTGTTCCCCTCACAGATCCTCACTCCTCTCTCCAGCTGCAATTGCTGTTGCTCTGCTTTTTTCTCCCTTCTTAAATATGTTATCCCAGAGGTGCTACCACCATTGCTGATGGGCTTGGCCTCAGCCAGCAGCAGGTCCATCCTGGAGCTGGCTGGCATGGGCTATACTGGACATGGAGCAAACTTCTAGCAGCTTCTCACAGGAACCACCCCTGCAGCCCCCCTGCTACCAAAACCTTGCCAGGCAAACCTAATACAAGCAGTCAAGTGAAACTGGAAATACCGAGGTCTGCCCATCTGTACCTTGGGTGCCTCTGGTGAGCTCTCATGCCGAGTGGATACAATATATTCCAGGGTCCCACATGGAAGGGGATTGTCCATTTCACCTGCCTCCTCATCCCTATGGATGCAGGAATTAGTGCAGAGGGAGCTTGATCTCATTCCTCCCGGCCATACCAGTAGCAGGTTCTGGGCAAGCAGCCAAGCCCTGTGTGGGGCAGATGCCCCAGTGCTGAGATTGTTTCACTTGGGCAGATCACTGTAGCACGTGGTTGTTTCCTGCTGAGCTGTTTCTGACGTCTGAGCTAGCAGAGAAGTGATAAGAGTAATCTGGAAAGCAAGGGAAATAGTATTAGAAAACTACATATAACCTCATATGATGTTTTACAATGCCCATCCTACTTTACCTGTAGTCTATGACAAACTTACATTTCGTTACTGTCACAAGTTCTTGGCATGTATCCCTCCTTAGGAGGAGTACACAACGTGAGCAAAATGGGAGCAAACCACGTAATTCCATTTTTTTCTCTTAACAGGATATACCAGAAGTGTGTAAGCCAAGTGTTGCACAAACATCAGCTCTTAATGCAGAGCAGTGCAAACATATCAATCGCCCAGCAGTGTTCTGCTGCCCTTATCTCTTTGCCAGGGGTGATGAATGCCATGAAAGGAAATAAAAATGACCTCCTGTAGATTATGAACAGGTGTGGTGGTGGCAGGAGATTGTATCTCTACTCCCAGTCCTGGAGGCAAAACTCCTGCATACAAACCGCCCATTTTGTTTGAAACTGGATGTTCCTCTCTGCGTAAAAGACAAGTGGTCCTGCTGCAAGCACAGGAAGAGAAGGGTGAGCAACTGCATGAGATACGAAGTTTTATGTCCAGTGAGCTCAAAGGCATCGTCTGTCCCCCCAACAACTTTTGGTCTGAGCAGAGTTGGCCCCTAAAGTTTTCAAAAATCATTTCCCCTCCTCAGACTGAATTCCTGTGCCATGCATGGCAGGCACAGAGAGTCCAGCCCTGAGGAAACAGGTCAAGTGGCACGGTGACAAGGACTGAGGATGGAAAAGGATTAGAGAGGCTGAGTCAGTCATAATAAGCAATGATTAACTTCGGGGTTCTCTGCTTTTGGCATTTAGATCATGTAAAATCACAGCATTACTTCAGTGCCAGTCAGCCCCATGTCTGAGCCCTTCCCTTCCAAACAGGCACCCCAGACAAGATGGATCAAACCAGCAGAGTAAAAAGTGAAAGCTGAAAATGCATGAGAGGTATTCACAATAACTTCTGCTTCAATGGAAACATTGCTATAGCTGTAAACAAATAAACTATAAAATTTGGCACAAGAGGGGCCCAGGACTGGAATAGCAGGAATGTTGCAGATCAAGATTAATGTGCATTGGCAGAGCTACACGGAGAAACATGCATGGCACCTGTCCCCACGGTGCCTGCCTTGAGCTGGTAACGTTAATCTCCTGGTTTCATAACCACTCAAACCTACATCTTAAAACAATACCTTGTAGATTGTAATGTAAACTATTTTGAGGGAAATTTTGCTGAAAAGAAAAAAACATGCATATATGGGACAAGCCAGCTGAATCAGAAAGTAAAATGCCTCTATAAATGTGTTTGTAGAGAAAGAATATTACCTATTCTTAGGAATATATACATGTGTATGTGTGTGTAAAACTATGTAGGTTCTGTTTGTTGATAATAAGATAAGCATTAAAAGGTGTGACAAGAGAGATGAGGACTTTTTACAATTCCAGCCACATGATGTACTGCTCAGTTCCTCTCAGGAAACCTTCTCAACTTCTACCTAAATTCCCAGAGTGTGCTGCAGCCTGGATTTGTGGCAGAAATTCCCAGCCTGGATGGGATGCTGGAGAATCTGAAGCCTTGCTGTCAAATATCAGCGATAGGTGTCTGATTAGTTAGATGTCATTATATTATTCAACCATCCTTAAATAACTATTACACCATTGCAGTCACTAATCCTTTCTGAGAAAGACAAGTAAGAAAGCATTAATTGGGTGACCATTACATGTGTACTGTACTTTCTTTAGGACTGAATGTACTGCGGGCTTTGCTATGCTGTATTCCTTCCTGAAATATTCCTCACTAAGCCCTAACCCTATTAATGTCAAAACTCCTACTAATTTTAGTGGGTCTAGGAACACACTTTTTTTGTCCATCAGCTAAGAACAACTCCTTCAAAAGAAAGGAAAGAGAATAGATACAGGGTTTTGTAGCAATGTCTCACATTAGGATAATATTGTATTTTGACTTTGCTCTCACATGATTTGTCTTGAAGACAGTAGCAAATATTTACAAACATACCAGAGTCTAATAAGCTCTTTCTTCTTATGTAAAACATGTTCTGAGAAAAGCAATACCTCTAATTGTGGAGAGGGTGTGACAAGTCTGAAAACTTTTCAGTGTTTTTAATTTCTTTTAAAACTCATTCAGAAAATTTTTGGACAAACCATCAGAGATATTTTAGCTTTTTTTATGCATAATGGACTCAGCATACTCTGTGGTGAGAAAAGCGGAGCAGTCCATCATTGAAAGTCCACATAAAAATATTGTATGTTGTTCAAAATACCCATGTAAAATTGGAAATAATTTTACAGATAGTAGGAGGTTCCTACTTTTGCTGTTTTCCTTCAAGAAAATAATAGATGCTACAAAAAGAGTGGACAGGCAGTGTCCTGGTATGCCAGAGGAGTGTACTCAGCCCAGTGACACCCACTAGATGGGGATATTTCCATAGGACACTCCTGGCCTTTCAAGCAGTGTTCAGTGCACCACGAGTGTACCAACACCAGCTCATATTCACAGTTCAGATCTCCAGTCTTGGACCAGATCAGAGTTAATTTGTTATAAATACTAATTCAGAGCAGTAACAGGCAGTTTGGGGCAGCCTGGGGAGATTTTTCTCTTTAAAGAGCAGCTGATCTAAATTATTTTTTTGCTTGAGAAAGAACAGATGAGTATGTGCCTGTGTGCACACACACACACAAACACAGGCTCACACAGATGTATTCAAAAGTCTAAATGGAGCACAGATTCTACTGCTTCTTAGTTGGATTAAGTGCTTCAACAGCCTTCGAAACTTAGGCAACTGGGACATGCAAGACTTGAGGCACAGTCAAATTTTTAAATGGCCTTATGTGTTTGGTATTAGTTAAACTCAGTTATAAATATTAAAAATACTTCAGATTTGCTTGAACAAAATTTGATTTTGTTCATGTGTGTGCTAATGTGTATGTGACACACAAAACACTGCATGACAAGTGAGAAACATCTACTGTATTAAGCAGTCCCTGATTACAGTGAAAAGGGCAGAAGAATGTGTTAATCTTTTTTGCTTTTTGTAATTTCAGTGGTCTGATTTTACAGGACTCCTTGGTAAAAACTACAGAGATAAGTTAGAATAGTGATTAACCAGCCACTAGAAGCATGGCTTTTCCTATCTGGTACTCCGAGTTCTTTGAAAAGCAAAATTTAAATCTTACATGGCTCATTTTCTCCTCTACACATTCAGGCAAGACTGATTGGACTCTATGTAAGATCCTTTTCTGCATCCCAGTATTTTTCAGTCTGTGAGAATCTGGTCAGTACTTTCTATGCAAAGGAGTCCACAAAGAATAAGGCCTACATGGAAGAGTCTCTTATTCTAAAAATGAGAAACTACAGAAGTGTTGAGCTTTATGAGGTCATTTTTTATTTATAGGTGCTAACATCAGAACTAGAAATATCCCTTATTTTCACTCTATGTTTCACACATTTTGTGGGCTTTGGGGGATCTGCTAGATCCACTCACTTTCTGTTTGCAAGATTCATAGGATGATTTAGGTTGGAAAAGACCTCTAAGATTATTGAGTCCAACCAGTAACCCAGCACTTCCAAGTCCCACTAAACCCTGTCTTTGAGTGCCATATCTCCATATCTTTTAAATACCTCCAGGGATGATGATTCCACCATTTCCCTGAGTGGCCTGGCCACCCTTTCAGTGAAGAAATGTGTCCTATTATCCAACTAAACCTCCCCTGCTGCCACTTGAGGCCATTTCCTCTCATCCTGTTAGTTGTTACTCAGGAGAAGAGACAGATGCCCTCTCACTACAGCCTGTTGTAGGGAATGGTAAGTTGTAGTAGTTGTAGGGAATGGTAAGTTGTAGGGAATGGTAGGCCTCCCCTGAGCCTCCTTTTCTCCACAGTCATGATTTTGAAAGATATCTGTCTTCTTTCACCAGGATTTCATCTGTGCTCTCTCTGCCTCTTTACCTCTCTGTGTTCCTAATGTGTCATACCCAAAATTACCAAAGAACAGTTGTTTGGTAACTTTTAAAGTCACTTATGGTCTTTCCATGAACCTCAGGGAAACCAGGTCCTGTATGAACTCCACAGGTCCTGTGTGAACTTCATACACTCCACAGCACAAAACAGATTCCAGAGACCTGGGAAATCATCACACATTCCACTGAGCTGAATCACTGTATAAATGTTATCTTTGTTAACTATTTATTCCCTTACCCTCACGAGCTGGATAAGGGCACAGGAACCCACACCTCACTATCAACAGGGACACACTGCCCTTTTTTTTGGTTTTTTGGCTCACCTCTTTTTCATTGCACTGATAACTGTGGACTTTTGCCAGCTGCAAGTAGTTCTTGGCTGGCATTGGAGAAAGAACTTGGCTGGTGGCTGGGAAAAGTGTGTAGGATGATCCACCAGAACAAATTAACTCCTTGGTCTCTGCTGTGTTTCTTTGACACAGCTAGCTTTCCTTTAAATGTTGGATGCTATTCAAATTCTCTGAAGTGCCTTCCTTTGTCCCAGTCTTAATTTGTTTATTAAGAAGCATTTCAAATGGCAAATTAGAGGCATGCTTTAAACTAGAATGTGTAACATATGGAAAAAACCAACTTACAACCCCATCTCCTTACTTGTATACACCATGAGTAAGAAAACTGACAATGTATCCACAGCCTGCAGCTTTTGTGGAATAGGCCATCAATCATTAGTCAGTGCAAGTTTAATTCTGGACAACTTTCCAGCATCAGTGGAACTGCCAGAAAACATTTTCCAAGACAAGCTAAATAGAACTTTTATAATGAGGCAAGGTGCTTTTTGTAGCATCCTGTTTTCAAACAAGTGTTTGCCCAGTCTTTTTTTTTTTTTTATCAGCAAATTGCTACTTCTTCAAACTGTAACATCCCATTAACTTAAAAAACCTAGTGTATTCTAAGTGTTGTGGGAAGCATCTTATGTCTCCATTTGAGCACACACTATTGCAGAAAACAAACAGAAACTCTGTTTAAAAGCTTTTCTTGATACTTATATATTCTTTAAAAAAACCCCAAACAACTAAATTACCTTCATACATTTGCAATGCTGAGGTCCTTTCTCAAATAGGTAGAGTGAAAGACTTCCAAAGACCAAAATACCATTGGTGAAGGTACCTACTTGCTATGAAGTAGGTAGAAAGTATGAGATATAAACTACAAAAGAGAACATTCTAATCACAGGAAAAAAGGGGGTAGGAGCGTGGGAGAGGCAGGGTGGCAGCACCAGGCACACAGTTCAGCAGCCTTTCCATTAAAGCAACGATGAGTACCTGTGCATGGTGCAGACTCCCAGGTGCCGTGACGCCCTCTGAGACATGCTCAGGCATCAAGGAGCTCAGCCTTGCAGTTCAACAGAGGTTACAGAATCCCTTAGATTAAAAACCACTTTTGTTTTCCAGTCCTGTAGAGCTGAGAAGAGAGTGATGCACAGGCAGTTGGGAATCTAGCCCAAAGCAGCATATGAATTATACAGTCGAGGGTAAAGACAGTAATTTCTAATGATTCATTTTTAACACTGTCATTTACAACGAAATGTTAGTCACTAGAAAATGCTTTTGTTACAGCTTTGTGGTGTTCCACACTGCAAACATGACCCTCTCTTATCTTTTTGTAAAAATGCTACCAGTATCATGGTTTGTGTTGTTCGACAGCGAGTCTCATTTTCACAGTTCCTTATCACACAAGCACATCTTTGTGCTTCCCCATCATTCCCACCACAGGAGAGGAAACAATTTTGATCAAACACCCCAGAGCCTACAACTGTTTTGACTGTCATTTAAAAGCCAACCTCACCAGCTGAATAGCTGTAGAGATACCAATCATATCAGACCAATCAGACCCAGTTCTGACCCAGGCTGAGGTCCCAAAATGAGCTCAGAATGCTCCAGAGATCAAGATTCAGCCCAACCCTCCTACCCTAATTTCAGAGGCATCTGTCCATACCAGCCCTGAAAGGAAATCTCAAAAGAAACAAGAGGGAGGCTGTGACTGAAATCAGCATCAGGAGTTTGAATGTTGCTTAGTTTTCATGTCAGCTTCAGAATACCTCAAATAAAGAACTAGATGCCTCATTAGGGGAGTAGTGTAGGCATGCTACACTAAAGTTATGGCTTCTAGTTTTATGGCATGCTTTTTTGTGCCTAAGCACACATCTAAATGGAGCAGCCAAGGTAAAGAAAGGAGAGCTTATTCTACACAAACACATATAGGAATGAGAGAACAATCCATGGAGACATCTCTATGCAGGAGCTGGCAAAAAAATATGGAGTGGCCATTGCTAAAAAAATGAGAATGGATTAAATATAATACAGCTGCAAAATAGATAACTTAGGGTGAAACCCTTTTCCTTCCACAACTGACACAGATGCATGTGCATGCAGAAAATATATACTGATCAACCGACTTCTGTGAATTATCCTGGAAAGAAACATATGCATCTTAAAAATTCATGAGAAAACCTGTGCTTTTCATAGTACATAATTTTACTGAAGTAAATGAAAACCTTGAGATAGATGGCTTATTAACCTATCTTTTGACCCAAATGATGGCAATACTGTGGCCTTCTGGGAAATGAGACAAAAGATGTGTCTGTCCCTTGCTATTTCTGTGTCACATGTACATCACAGGAGGGATATAGCATGAAGAGAAATTGTGCTTTGCTTTTGCAGGACTTGGCAGATCAATAACATTGTGGAAGTATTTATATGACTGGAGGCTTGGGAGCAGTCAATCAGAGATAAAAGAAAGGCTGCAGTCTTGTGAAGCATTAAATGTTTTATTCCAGCTAAGTAACAGTGACATCTCCCCAGTCAGTTCCTGGTCATGGTCTGCCTGCCTCTGGCTGTGTCAGTCTAGAAAAAAAGTCAAAACTCAACTCATAAATTGCAAGCCGGTTGCCTTGAAATACGTAAGGATACAAAAATTATTATTGTAAATCAGAGCAAGATTCTTTGCCTCCTCAGAGGACTTTTTGTTCTGATAAGGAGAAAACAGAAGCTTCTTGCTGCAGCATTTGCTTTATTATTTGTTTTACTTGAATAAGTACCTACAGCAAGGTGTGTTTTCATTACACAGATAAAAAAGAATTATCAAGTGATATGGTCCAGACTAAAGGTTACCAAAACCCAAATAAATCAAACCTCTTTTTATTTGCTTCCACAGTTATGCCTCAGAGTAGAGATGCTTGCAAAGAAAAGTTTTTAACACAGAATTGAATTAACTCAAATTCCTGTGAGATTTTGCCCTCACTGTTTCTACTGCACTGTAGGAATTTTTTTCTGCCATCTCTTTTACCTCGCAAGGCAAGAAAATTATGTAAGAGTTTCAAAACAATCCTGAATGTTCTCTGTTTTTCAGTCAAAAGCAGAAACCTGTCAAATTACTAATCACAGTGGGTAGCATACTAAAATCAGTTGAAAAAAATCAACAGTTTACAGATTGATTAGTTGGAAAAAATTACACTTAGGCGCCTTAAACTACATGCAGACTTTGGAATTGAATGTCTAATGAAATGGCATTAGAACTGAAGAGCATTATTTTACCTACACAAAACATAAGAAGGCATACATTTTGTTAAAATAAAAGCTATTAAAATTAAAATAGAGAAGGAAAATATGGCTTCAAAGTCAGATCTCAAATTCCCAGGGAGAGAAACTACAAGCTGACTTTTAGGCAAGTCTGAAATAGAAGGTCAGCTCTGGTTGATGTCAGCTGGGGTCTTCCCTGGGGACAGCCCTAACATGATGCTGAGGGAAAAAACACAGAGAATGGCACAGGGGTATTAGGGTGGGCACAACAAAGAAAGCTTTGAAAGAAGATGGTGGTCTGTCCCTTACTCAACCTGGCTCCTTGGTGCTAGGCACCTGTTTGACCACAGGGAGAAGGGTGTGACCCAGAAAAATTCAGAAATCATGTGAAAACTGGCTTCTACCACATTGCAGGCATTGCCCTAAAACAACACTGTCAGTTATAAGGGTTGTCTCCTCCTAACCCCATTTGCATACAAATCAAAGATCCTTAGCAGCTCACACACTCCACAAGGGACAAGGATATAACCTGCAGCCTGTTTGCTGAAAGATGTTCAAAAGTGCTGAAATAAAAAGTATGCACTTGGAAGACTAACTCATCTCCAAAAGGAAGAGAGGTCACATTATTTGAAAATTGAATGGCTTCATAGGTGAAAAGAATCAGTAAATTGATTACTGGCCCAGTAAAGGACTCTCTCATCCTGGGTAAACCCTCAGTGCAATGAGTCCTTCATTGCCCTGTCTCTGCTCAGTTGTCTCACATCTGCTCTGCACCCATTATCTCACCAGAGCAGGATCTTGAAAGTTACCACGACCTGCTTTGCTGCAGGCTCACAACCATGTTGATTCATTAGTTTATTTTAAAATATGACTGTCATATCAGTCGCTGATTGCCAGGCTGTGTCAGATACATCGTGTTCCCTCAGTCCCCCGATTCTCTCTGTGTTACTTTGAACAAAGGATAATTTCTTTTACCCATTCATTCATTTGGGGCGAATTATGGCTGTTTCTTCCTCTCTAGCAGTCATTGTTAATACTTTCAAGAAGTTCTTGGTAAATTATAGTTTAAATCAGTATATTTTCTTCTTTCAATAATTCCCTTCTCTCTACAACTTGTACTTTCACTCCCAGTTGTTCCCTACAGCTAATGAACATGCTGCTTTTCAGCATGCATTGTGATTCTATTGTTTTTTCTTTGTTTAAAGCTTAGTCACATCATCAGTCTTTTTTTTTTATTCTTTCTGACAGCCTGTTTCTTAACAATAAATTTGGTGTTACGATGTAAACTTCTCCCAACTACTATTCCTTTTCCTATATTTACATCCTATAAGATCAGCATCAGGAATATATCTTCAGGGCCTGCAACTTCCTGGCAAGTCATATTTGCTGCTTGTAAAGCCTCTCCTTTTAGTGCTTATTTGTAGTTTCTGATGAGCAGTTTTAACAGTATTTTATGGTCCATGACAACCTCCGTGCTCCAGGAGGTCTTGTCTGGGTTGCTTTCATGGTATCATTTGCTGTTTATTTTCACAGTTCCTGCAGCAACACAGTAGTTCTTGTTGGCATTGCTATCCTTATGCCACTCCTCTAGCAGATTTTATCTCTCCTTTGGGTCATTTAGGATGTCAGTGTCACCTAGATTTTATTTCATATGGGGCTGGCAGCTCCTGTTCCTAAAATGTGACCACAAAAATTCACTCCACAGCAGCTCTCTGGCCTACTCATGCTCAAGTACTTCAAAATAATTTGCAAAGCAATGTACTTGCTGTAATTTTCATAGTTTGGTCATTGCCTCTGCCCCCAGATCATTTCTGATTCTTGAATAACATGGGATTCAGACCTCCATCAGAAGTAGAATCCTCCCTTGTATTGAAGTACACAGAAGTATTTGATTTTTTAAAAATCAAGATGCTTATGAAAGCCTTTCCCTGTAGGTGACCCAGTCTCAATTCTGTTATTTTAGCAGGTTTATGTTTTTTATGTGAACAATACAAATTTAGTTTCAAAAGCTACAAAAGATATGGCAGTCCATCACTTTAAATTTTTAAATATCCTGAATTTAGAAGTAAACTGCTTAAAAATATTTTTTGTGCATAATTTTGTGTGAAAGCCCAAGAATAATAGCCCCAATAGACTGCACGTGCTGTGAACTTACAGAGGGATGTGCCATGATATTTTTTCCAAATGACATTCCATATGGATTATGAACCTCACCCATCATATTTCAATAGGCATTTAAGCAAACATCTTGCCTGAGTAATATTGGAAAAAAAATATTGGAAAAAAGCTGGGAAATAGCAGTGAAATACACAGTGAAGACAGCATGCTGTTCTGAGTTCTTTTATCTTCCCTCAGGAAGTACATTGCAGAATATTTCTGAGTGTGCTGCCAGCTCCTGCAATTATTTGTTGCTGTTTTTGCAAGGAACCAGTGATGGTAGAACCGATGCCTTCTCCCAAATGCCACTTCTTAGTGGAACCTCTCTCAGATGCCTCCCTTGCTTGGGCATGAGCAGCACCTGAGATGCTGCAGGAGGGAGGCAGATCTCTCCAGGGCAGTGGCAAGTGAAGGGTGAGGTAGGAGGTGCAGGGAGAGACAGGGAGGGTGTCTCCCAAATCTTAATGGTCTGTGAGAGGGCTACCAGGCTGCACCACCTTTTCCTTTCCCTGTGTGCTTCCTGTGCCCTCAAATGTAAGTGAGATCTTGAGTCCCGGGGGATAATTTCTCATCAGAGAAGGAAAACTGCAGGAGAAATTAAGTGAACTACTGTTTCCACAGAGGAATCCTTGTTTTGTTGACTTCCACAACAACCCTGAGAAGCAGATGATGTGGGGAAATAGTGTGCTAAAGTAAAACAACATACTCGTGAAAACAATGGATTGTATAACGATTCACAAACTCGAGAAAGGCAGGATGGAGGGGGCAACTACGTTTTCTTAATTAAATGCATTTCTTTGTTCCAAATCATTCAACGGCTTTTTCTTGTGTACTTTAACAAAGACCACATGCAAGTTAAATATCAGTGTAGCAATGACTTTGTGCTTGCACTAGCAATTTTGAAGATACATGGTCAGCTGAGAATCCTGGCTAGTCTTGGCTTGAGCAAATGGATTAGAGCATCTTTAATTTATGAATTTTAAAAGTCAGACCTTTCCGAATGAAGGATTCATGTGTTTTTGTAGCCTCGGGGAAGAAGCCAGCTGTAAAAGGCTAACCTTTATTGTGGGATTTCTGTTCTCTTCTATTTAATACACAAACTTACTCACCATAACAACCACTTAAAACTGTGTGGCATGAAACAGCAAAAAAAAAAAAAAGGCAGCAATACCCATCCTTGAAGGAATACTAATTCAAGCCACCTTCAATTCCACAATGGAAAAATGAACTAAATGCCATAATCCAGAAGGGCAGGCAATTTTAAAACTGGAAATACTGGAGCTGTTCCTCTTACATGGATATAAATAATGACAAATCTGCTAAAATCTCTAAAAGCACAATGACCAATTTTAGCTTAAATTCTGTTCTGCCTTAATGAAATAAATAACGTGATGCTAGATACACATGCACGGGGGAAATACGTTCATAACATATATTTAGAACAGGAAATGGGAAGTCAGAGTATATGAATGACTGACCCTCTTACAAGGTTTTATCACACTGTTTGCATTTTTCTTTATTTTGAAATGACAACGACAGTTTTTTAATTCTCCTGATTTCATAAATGTTTACGATACACGGCTAAACACCATCTAGCATAACACTGACACAGCTGCACTAAAACTAGGAGGGAAGATCAGACAGCCTGTATGATTAGACAAAGACAACCTACTGGCCAGTGAGTCATCTACAAAACTGATGCTGCCAAACTGTGAACTTCATGTGTACTTTGTCACTTCTTACTTGCTCACCATTCTGAGGAAGGTTCGAGGAGCAATTTGTTGTGTGACCTTTGGGGGATTTCTTGATGCCTAGAATCTGCAAAGATCTATGATATTTTCCTAACACAGCTGTTATCTTTGTGGTTTCTGACAGCAGCAAGTGCAATTTATAGCATAAAAGAGGAGAAAACTTGCCAGTGTATGATACATATTCTTGACCAAGGGAAGAAAAAAAATTTTATCCTCATTGTGCTGATTTTGGTTGGGGTTAATTTTCTTCACAGCAGCTGGTGTGGGGCTGTGTTTTGGATTTGTGCTGAGCACAGGGTTGATAATATAGAGTTGTTTTGGTCACTGCTGAGCAGAGTTTGCACAGAGCCAAGGCCTTTTCTGCTTCTCCCACTGCCCTGATGGTGAGGAGGCTGTGGGGGTGCAGAGGAGGCTGGGAGGAGACACAGCCTGGACGGGTGACCCAAGGGATATTCCAGACCAGAAGGCATCATGCTCAGCATATAAAGCTGGGGGGAGAAGAAGGAAAAGGGGGACATTTAGAGTGATGGCACTTGTCTTCCCAAGTCACTATTACGTGTGATGGAGCCCAGCTTTCCTGGATATGGCTGAACCTGCCTGCCCTTGGGAAGTGCCCTTGTTTTCCTGCTTTGCTTGTGCACATGGCTTTTGCTTTACCTATTAAACTGTCTTTATCTCAACCCACTTTTACCCTTCTGATTCTCTCCCCCATCCCATGGGGGGAAAGTAAGAGAGCAGCTTTGCGGGGCTTGGTTGCTGGCTGGAGTTAAACCACAACAGTCATACACAACCAAAGCACTGTTGCACATTAAATTTCCTATGTTTTGTTAAAAAAACAGACAAGAAAACCATTTTTTCCTCAAATTAAATGTCTCTTTTTTTATGGTGTGTATAACAAAAGTTCTCCATTTCTCACTGTGCATTTTGTTCATTCTTCTCCTTTCTCTTTTATTCCATGCAAGCACATTTGCTATTTTCATCCTCCTTTAAATTAGCTTCAGGTACTCTTCCCCCAGTCATTTGCTTTTCTTAACTAGCTCTTTTATTTCCCTGCTAAAGCTTCATTGTTTTGTCTACTTGACTTTCTTTCATACCATCACTCCCAAGCACTTTTTCCGTGCAGCTCTTCCTTCACAGTGCCTCTGTCTTCCCACAGAACTACCACTTCAAAAAACATCTCTGCTGCTGTAAATTCCCCCGTATGAGCTCCTATTTACCTTACTTCAACTCATTTCATCTATCAACTATCTGATCTATCAACTATCTAATCTATCCAATCTTCAACTCATTTAATTTATTTGGTTACTTCTCCTGCATGCAGCTTCTTCATGAAGGTACTTCTTCACGAGTTGGCCTGATTTTCACAGCACCTCTTTGCCCATTTCTTGATTCTTTTGTCCCAGCTCTCATATATATATTATGTTTGTCCATTGTACAATTGCTAGAAGCCAAACAGGAGAAATGGAGCTAGGAGAAAAGATCTGTACCAAGACTTAAAACATGCCTAATTTCATGTTACAAAAAGCTGAAGTTAATAGGACTGGTCAGCAAGGGATGCCATGAAACAGAATAAAAAATTTGACTCTAGGGTGGTTTCTCTTTGCACACATCACCTCCAAGGAAAATGGGACCTGCTTCCCTGTGCTATCCAGGCAATATGATTCAACAATGGCCTGGAAGGATCCCCTCTGATAAGGACAGAATAGCTTAATATTTGTTGATACCCAGCCCTCTTCCTTTTAAGAACTAGTATCAACAAAGCTATCAACTATCTATCTGCTACAAACTGATTGATTCATTAATTTTGTATGAACCACTAAAAAACTTTTAACCACTTCTTAATGATGAAATACACTCTGAAAAAAAATCAGGAGGTAGACTTTTGAATTTCACTCTCAGTTTTCTTAATCACAAATTCTTAAAAGCATGAACTACTATGACAGTCCTCATGAGAGTGTTTCAAACTATGGACTGTGTGTCAGCTGACACTCTCCTTCCTCCCCCAGGAAAACATCTGCACACTTCTGTAAATAGGATTTACATTTTCATTTATCAGACAATATTGCCCTTCCTGAATAGCTAGAAAAATTTGGCATGCAGAAGTTTTAAAGTGTAAAATGACTGTATAGAATCATTTAGGTTGGAAAAGACCTTTAAGATCATCAGATCTGACCAGCAACCCAGCACTGCCAAGTCCACCACTAAACCATGTCCCCAAGTGCCACACCTACACATCTGAATGCACATGGACAGTATATTTGAGAAGCAAAAAGATTCCCATCCACTTCCATGGACTTAGGCATTACAGATAGAAATAAATAGTGTAATGCTTTCTTATAACTTTCAGAGCCTTATTGCCACATGACCTGATTTTTAAATGAAGGCAACGTCTTGGAGTGGCATTTAGAGTGTATGGAACTATGTACTAGAGTACAGCCATTTGCCTGTGTGCTTATTTTTCAGTTGTGACTGAAGGAAAGAGTCCTTACCAGGCTTTGCAGTCTGTGTAAGTCCAAGCAAATTCAATATACTGTATTTCTGTGGTCTGGAAAGCAGATGCAGTTTAGAGGTTTCATCTAGTTTCTTGTTGTCACAAGTCTAATAACATCAGGTAGGTGACTCACTGCTCCATCTGCTGTGGTCATGAGTCACTGACACAATGCAAGGCACGCTGGAAAAAAAGGCATCGTTGATTAGTTTAGGTCCTCACCAGCCAGAACCTTGAGTACCTTAACAAGAAAATACATCTATAAAGCAGTAAAAACGAGATCAAAGTCTGTTCATATTACAAATATATAGCCCCTATCTTGCTAAATAATGTGCCATTAAAACTGAACAGTGTTTGTATTTGCATAATTCTGTTTTTCCTGAGTAAAGTACAGCTGCCACTTGATTACTGTGTTTGAAAAGACTGTCAAAGACATACTGTGTGCTGATAGATCAATATTTCATGATTCCTCATCATAAGATAACTTAACTACCCGAAAATTTTACAGTCATCCATGAGAAGGCCAAAAGGAGATAATAGAACTCCATCTCAACTCTGTAGCTGTGAACAGAAAACTAATATAAATTCTTTTCTTTTTCAAGAAAATAAAAATAAGCAAACCCCAAATTCCTTCTGCAATCTGTTCAATAAAGGCCCACGTGATGTTCACCTACACCTGAACATTGCTCTGGTTCTGACAAGGTGTGAAGATAAATACAATAACTGCTCATAATCAAATCTATGTGTGATATTTTTGTATTTTTTTTCTAACAGGGTCTTACTACTTTATGATTTAATGAGCCTGCAGAGCAAATTAAAATAAACTAGAATGAGGCAAAGGTATTGCCAAAAAAGTATTAAATTAGAAATTTTTCTGGACCCATAATTCCAAGAAAATTCAGACTGTTACCCTTCCTCTCATTGCAGTCAAGTTTCTCCCAAACATATGTGAGTATTTCAGTGTCCTTAACACCTATTTACTTGAGAAAGACCTGACAAAACTATGATCATTAACTGATTCTGCCCTAATTGCTTTGAAATGCCTAATTCTTTCCTAAATCTTCTCCAAGGCTCCCAGATGTCAGGTTGAGTTAAAAAATTTTATATATGTTTAACGTACAAAAATGGTCAGAAAGTTAAACACTGAGCTGACCCAGCAAAATAACTGTGGGTTTTTATACTTCGAGTTATTCAGTCCCAACATTTACAAGTTTCCATGCTGTAAAACCTCATGTGAGTAGAAAAACATTTGTACTACAACTTAGAGCTTTATACGCCCAAGTAATCTGATACAGCAAATTATCAGTAAAAAGAGTAGACAATCAATACTTTTACCACATCTTAATCTGTTTGGAGAGCGTCTTTCCCGTGGAAAACCCCTGACTGATACTGTACTAATAAAGGAAATAACTTCACGAGGTAATTATACTTGTTGCTGACATCCTAAACATCCTGGACTGACTCCAGCCGTGTGGTTCAGCCTTTGGGAGGGAATTCACATGAACAGCTGAGACATACACAGCTTAAAACGGTATAAACTGCAAATCTAACTGGTGTTAATTCCCTCTCTTAACTCTGCTCTCCCTCTCTCATGTCCTCCTTCCCCCTTCAGCAAGGAATTAAGGCTTTCTGTTTCTGGAATTTTTGCCTGCTGGTGATAGATTTTTTTCTTTGTTGTACAGATGTTTGATGTTGTTTATACTCACATACTTCAGAAGGCTGCCTTTTCTTCTTGTATTATAGGTTGTATATTAGCCAGACATCTTGCTATTCTTTTTTTCTGCAGCTAACTAATTGATTGATTGTTCACAGCACAATTGTTGGAGAGGGAAGAGATCTCTATTAATTAATTGGTAAATGGACATGCAAAATAACAGATGTTTGAAACACAGAAAAGAGAATATAATGTACTGCCTTTAAATGAATAAACAATGTGTGGGAAAAAAATAAATCAAAGATGCACAACTCCCTACCCTGCTGCTTTCAGGAACAATGGCCTTTTGTCTCAAAACTCATCCAACCAGAAGGTGGTTTTTATTCTCCAGAATCACTGATTCAGATGATGTCTGCCTTTGACAAGAGTTCATTCCCCATGATGGGGGGGCAGTCTTTGCCTCAAATCTGCCTTAAGTGTCTTGTATGGCTGCTGATCTAAGCCTTAAAAACTCTTTTTAGGTGATATCTCTGGAACATGCTTTTTCTAACTATGCATATATTTGTTCTAAAATTATTCCAGCTCATCTTGTCTAGAGTCTAAGAATAAATTCTATCTTGGAAGAAAGATTATATGTGCTTTTGTGTAATGTATTGGGTTTTGTGCAATATATGTGTTCAGGAAGAGATGCTTTTTAGCTATGTTGGTTTGTCTTGGAAAAAGATTATCTCTCTGAGTTGCACGTCAGCTATGAAAATTTGTTATAGTCCAAAACATATTCTCTGACATCTTTGACCTAATATCATTTTAAACAAGACTTTGCTCCAGTCTAACATAATAACCTGCTATTCATGGTTAATCCCATGTCCCCAGCAGCATGCTTTTAAACAGAAGCAATATTTTCAATAGACATGACTTTCTTCCTGCTGTAAAAATACAGTAGAGAGATGACAGGGTTCTGTTAGGTTAAATACAGATGAATTTTTACATTTTTTCTTTGTTGTTGTTGTTGTCACTGTTGCTTCAATCACAGAAGATAAAAATAGTAGAACAAATGACCAGAAGAAGTGATCAATACTATAAACTCCTTCTGATCCTCAGTAATTCTCTTTAAAGATAGAGTGTAAGCCCCTCTGGAATATATGGGAATTTTCCCACTAGCCTCAGTGGGAGATAACCCAGGTTTAACATTCTCAGTATAAGTAATTAAATACTTATGCTGAAATAAAGAAGTGCATAGCCCCGTGCCCTCATGTATTTCAGTCTCTCAGTAGGGCTGATGAGCTCAGGCACCTCATGGGAGCCCTGTGAATAGATCTGGTTTGTGTTAACCTGATCACCTGACTCAACATATGAACGAGGCCTGTCACCCCTGTGCCCCTGGCTGTCCTTGCAAATGCAATTATGGGTGCAGGGCACTTCAGCAGCTCTGGGGTGAAGTGCAATTCTAAGCAGGCACCCTAAGGGTTCCTGATGGTTCAGCTTAGAAGACATCATTTGTCTCCCCTGGCTTTAATCATAGTCTGTCTAAAGCCTTGTGTGCACAAGAAAGTTATTGTGACGTAAACCAAGGCGACAGAGGAAAACCAGAAGAGTTATTCTGCACTGAGTTCCGTTGCAGATCTTCCATTCTGGGATACAAGTGCATCCTCAGCACTCAGCTCAACTTCTGTCCGAAGAAAGCTCACTCAAAGGAGCTAGAAAAACTGAGTTACAATCCATTAAAACAGTCAGAGTAACTGTGCTTGCATTGTAAGTTAACTCCACAGTACTTCTCCATGTTGAAAGATGAATTTAGTCTTGATTCACTGCATCAATACTGAATAAAGTGTATGCTGCAGCATCTGGATAATTGGCCAAACAATGCATGAGTTCATATCCTGTCAGCCCCGTCAATGTCACCACATTCATTGAAGGCACTATGGGAGAGTCTTGCCAAGCCAGGGTTTGGGACTGTGGCCCTTACCTCATCGCAAGAAAGAGAGACTAGCTCTTTAGATCTACCTCTTCTAAACTACTCAGTCAATTAACATTTATATATGTTTGGATTGTTTGAAAAATTGGTTTGAGGCCCAAATTTACAAAGATATTAGAAAGAAGTATCCAGTTTCTAATCCATTTCCTTAGGAATCTGATGGCCTTTGGGAATTTGGGCCTCAAATAGTTTTTTTAAATGTTTTCGTTGTACCTGATCTAAACTTCAGTTACTCCTCAAAACTAAGAAAATTAACATTCTAAATGTTACTTAAGTGTCACCTGTAAACTGTGAATGTTATTAAGCTGATTTGAGACAGTGGGTGAACTGGAAACCTAACCATAAAAACAGAGGTGGAAAAGAGGAGTATCTTGTCTAAACATTTCTCTGCCAGTAAAGGATTGTTCCAAATGCCATACTTCCTACAATGTCATGGAACATAGTTCAACTACTGAGTGATTCCAGATAGCTACTAATGTTCATTATTACTTTAATTGTGTAGTCCAAAAGTTGGCAGCTACAAAAAGAAAAATCAAACTACTGTACCAATACACTAAGTCTTATGGTGTGTCCAGAATGAAACCTTCTGTGGCACTGAACAGGAGCCTGATGTGCTGTGGCTGGGAGACTGAGAGAAGGGTTTCCCTCTGGGGACACAGGGGCCTTCCCATCTCTGCTGCTCTCTACTGTGTTTCTGCCAGCATTCAGAACTGACTGAAGCTGCCTTAGCCTGACAACAGCACTGGGTTTATACTGTTGACTATTGTAATAATGTGCTTGCAGGACTTAAATAGTTTACTCACCTTTACTCCTCACTCAGGCTCCAAAATAAAATGAGGCTTATGGGACAGTTCCCTCCTGGAACAGCAGTGCTGCCCCAGAGCAGCAAGCTGACTGCAGCAAAATCTGTCCGTGAAGTTCTTGGGGTGAAGCACAAAGAGGAAAAGTAATGTGGGAATTGGGGAATACACACAGAGATACAAAATTATGATGTTGTCTGAGTATTTTTTAAAAAAACTTTGGAAGGAATCAACCAGGGAGAGTGGGGTGCTGGCCAGCCAGATGTCACTCCTCTGAGACCGAGCTGGTCCTCGGAGCTGAAAACATCTTCTGAGAGTCTTCGCCGGAGCCTGGAAAGCAAAACACATAATGGAGGTGCCACGCAGCTCTCACCGTCCCCTTCGCATCAAACCTATTCAAAACACCGAGAGAAGGAAAGTCTCGTGTCTGAACGGGAAACTCGCACTGCTCTTTTCCCTCAGCATCTTCCCCTTTCCTTCAGCATCTCTTCCTCTCCCTCAGCATCTCTGCCCTCCTGTCCTCCCCGCTACCCCCGGGGCGAGTTTCTCTGCCCGGGGCCCCACTGCCTGCTCTGCCCCTCGCACTCCCCGGGCCGGGGGCTCCAGCGGGGTCTGCGGGGCCGGACTAGCGCTGAGGTGCCGCCGGTCCCGCCCCGCCCCGCCCCGGCTCCGCCCGCCAGCCCCGCACCGCGGAGCGGCCCCGGCGGGAGCGGCAACGGGAGCGGGAGCGGCGGCCACCGGGATGCGGCGGGGAGCGGGTCCGGGGCGGCGATGGGCGCTGCTGTGGGCGCTGCTGTGGGTGCTGTGCTGCCCCGCGGCGGGCGGCGGCGGGCGGAGAAGGGCCGCCAGCCTGGGCGAGATGCTGCGGGAGGTGGAGGCGCTGATGGAGGACACGCAGCACAAGCTGCGCAACGCGGTGCAGGAGGTGAGGGGGCGGCCGGGGGTGGTGGGGGTGGTGAGTGAGTGGCTCCTTCGCCCCTCAGCCCCCCGGGCAGGGCCGCACCTGCGGGCAGCGCCGCCAGCATCACCCGCGCCCGACGAGGGACAAAGGAGCGGGCGGGCGGCGCTGCCGGGAGGAGCCGCAGCCCGGGGCGGGACCTGAGCGCTCCCGGAATCCCCCCGGCGCAGCAGCCGCTGTCCCCCGCAGGCGGGGCGGGGATGGGATGGGGGGACCGGCCGCGGGGGTCCCGGCGCTGCCCCGGCGCTGTCGCTGTCCCCTGGCAGCCTCCCCGGGGGGAGGCTCGGGGCTCGCCGAGTGCGGGCATCGCTGCGATGACCCCGGACAGCCGCCCTCCCGCAGCGGTGCCGGCGGACAGCGAGGCAAAGGTGCGGGCAAACAGTCCCGTCTGGATCCCAGGAGTGAGAAAGGAACAGTACGTGGCGAGGGGAGGAGTGAAGGGAAGGATCAGTTATATTGTCTTGGTGCAGCAGGAGCTAAGACACACGACTATCCCAAACCAGGATTCAAAGCTGCGAGACAGTCCTGAAAACGCGTGTGGAGAATGAGATGTAATTCCGTGTCTTGATCTCAAATTGATGACCCAGAATCTAACAGGACCCATTTCAAAGACAGGAATTGAGACCAGACCCCGAGCCATTGTCTCATACCGCTTGTCAAAAGATGTTGTCCCTGCACTCCCCTTTCTTGTGTGCTTTCACCCCCTTCATGCTAAGAATCTTCCAGGTTCTCTTTTCCTCTCATTCAAAAATACATAGTCAAAAAACCTCTGTAACTGGCAACCAGTGGGGGAAACAGACCTTGGTTTATTATAATTAGGTAATTTCTGAACTTCTGCTGTCATCTGGACAGTTGCTGAAGTGTGTCTCTGTCATCCACTTAATTTAGACTGAAAACACATTGAGACAAAACATTCTTTACAGTGCTGCAAATACGCTTAGTTATAAATAAAGATGTTGTCGAAATTTCTGCCTGTTTTACTCTTCCTGGATTGAGGAATGGTCTATGTACTGCACAAAATGTGTATTGTTTGAGCTGCGTCTTAGCAGATAAATGCTTTACACTCTAAAAGATTTGCAGCTGTTGTTTAAAATAAACAGACACACCAAAAAGAGAAATTTTATCTTGGGAAAAATTCAGTTGTTCAGCCTGGCTGAACTTGTGGCCTCCTAGCTCTGTTACAGTGGTTCCAAATAACAAAGGGATAAGATTTATTCAGCGTTCGTGTTGTTTACAAGACTCATGCCCTTCTTCATCTGGCAAACAATGACAGTGGGAACTGAAATAGAGAATGAAATTCTGGATGTATGCACCCTCATCTATAGGACTGCTGCTGTTGATTCCGAGGGGCTTTGTCTCTCTGTCCTGCCAGAATATTTTCTCTTCTTTGTCAGATAGGAAAGTCTGTCTTAAATCTTTAGTGGTTTTGTGGGAAAAATAGAAAGCTGGGCTCTCGACTGGCATCAGCCCGTGCAGATACCAGTTGTTCATTAGTCTGCACCCTTTTTCCTCACAGGGACTGACTTTGGCTCTAACAGCCCAGAGCTCAAGGGTTTAGCTCTCCACTGTTTTTCTAGTCCATTAGAAGAGCTGCTGTGCTCAGTGTCTGAAGCAGCTGAGTAAGCGTTCCCATCCAGGGGCATCTGTGCTAACAGCAGAATGTCATTAAACAGGGTGCTACTAAGCGCTGCACAAGAAGCTTTGCTTCTTCTCTTTTGTGTCATTTTTGCTAATTTTCAGTTGTTTGTTATTTTTTTTAAATTTGGCAGATGGAAGCTGAAGAGGAAGGGGCGAAAAAGCTGTCAGAAGTAAACTTTGAAAACTTACCTCCCAACTACCATAACGAGTCTGACAAGGAAACCAGAATTGGTAACAGAACTGTTCAGACTCATCAAGAAATTGATAAGGTATGAGAAAACATGTATATGGTGAGCTGTTCATTCTTACACACCTTTCCTTCAAAAATAAAACCAATTTTGTATGTTTTGATGAGGAATAAAATAACTCGGAGCATAAACTTTCCTGGTGATAATTACTTTGGGGTTTTATTGTATCTTACGTGCTTGATTAGTCACTGTGTAAGGACACATGTCATAAAAGGTTAATGCAAAATAATAATTTATGTTGAAAAACGTGCCTCCTAAAAACAGAACACAGCTACAGCTATTACATGGGTCATAAAAGAATGACCATCTCCTGCTCAGCCACATTCATCACAGTGACATTTTAAATAGATAAGGAGGTAACCTTGTCATCTACTTTTCCCCCTCAGAATAGCATTTAATATGAGTGACAGCAAAATGGGGAAAAAAGGAGGGGGTGGGAGGGGGTTAATTATTGGAGAATGTAGGGCTGAGAGCAGCAAAGGGCTAATAAAAAATGTAGTTTGATATTTTGTTATTTTGTTCTTCCTTTGCTGTGTCAGGTTACAGATAATAAAACTGGATCAACAGTTTTTTCTGAAACAGTTATTACATCTATAAGAGATGGAGAAAACAAGAGAAATCATGTAAGTGAACACATTTTTTCCTTTTGAAAATCAAACAAATGCTTGGGGGTTCATTGTTCAGAAGACTGTGATAGAGTTCACCTAACAAAATTTTGGAATGCTTTAAAACACACAAAACCATTGGGGCAAGCAGTAAAAAATATTTGTGGTTTTAATTAATTTAACTTATGAATATTATGAATTGGAAGCAGAATTTCAGTGAGGTGTTTGATCTGAATATTAAATTTATCTGTCAAATGTAAATATTAAATAGCAAAGACAGTTACACAGCCCTTTCCAGTGAGTGTGAGTAAACCCTTAGTATAACAGTGCTTTTGTAATTAATAAAAAAATTGCTTTATAAACTTATAACAAACCCCTCATCTTCTATTGTGAGAGGTCTGTGGAACAATATATGGCTCTATTTGCTTTTCAGCCTAACAGAGTGATGGACAACTGCTTGTGAAATGTCACTTTGGGGAGGGGGGAGAGGTGGGACAATAAATCCCCCTCCCCTCTGGAAATACAGTTGCTAAAGGATTCTCAAAGAGGTTTAAAAGATCAACAGTGTTCTTTACCTGAGTCTTGCAAACAGGTCCATTTGCTAAACATCAGTAGTCCCATGACAAATTCAGCATGTACTTAGAACAACTGGTAGGCTTTCTTTGGTTATAGTCTTACCAAAATGGACTCTTTTTTGTGCTCTTACTAAGACTGGCTTTTTTCAGAGTAACTTACTTCCAGATCTTTCACAGAAGGAGCTGTTTAACTATTTTATAAAACACTGAAAAAAAAGAAAAGAATTATGGCAGTGGTTTCTATTTTAATGGGCATAAAACTTGAAATTAGTGCATCTTTTCTTGTATCATCCTCTAAAGTTTTCCCTCTTTCAGCTCATATTTTTCACACTGCTATTAAAGCCTGAGAAAGGCAAGCAGCAAAAGAAAGCTTTTGTTTATGTAATACTTACTTTTTTGTTACTGTTTTGCAAAGCATATAGATTAAGTGGTAAGTCAAGGTACAAAATGAATTGCAACTATTCTAAGCTATATAGCTTGCTTTTATACAAAGTGTCAACAGCGCTTTTTAGTAATAAGATATGTGTAATGAAAGCAATCCAAATATCTTTTTCAAGCAAATATGTTCATCATCTTCAAACCCAGTGTACAAAAGCAAACTTTACAACCTTAGCTGATGGTGTTTCATAAAGTATTTGGCTTGCCTGTGGTGTCTAATCATTCTTCACAGCTGTAAAAATTACTTCTAAATTAACTTTCTCCAACAATCTTAAGCTTCATATGTCAAGGGCCATCTGCGTTTTCCATATGGGAAGGTTGCCTCGCTTACCAAGCCAGTGCTCCATCCAGAACTAACACTGTTATTAGTGTTCCAGCTGAAGAACTTGAGGGCTGAATGCAAATTTTTGTCAAACTTCATGGTGGCAGCCTTTTATGAAGGAGGCACAATCAGAACTGACCACGTTTGCTCCTAATCACTGAAATCCTGGGGCGCGTCATTCACTGACGCTCTCGCTGCAGCAGCTGCCGAAACAAAACTGCATTTGTTAGTGTTTATTTCCCCTCTCACACTCATTTTGAACTTTCAGCATGCCCACGGTACAAACACCTTATTTAGAGGTTGCCAGGCTGGAGAAGAAGCTAAGTGGGAAAAACAACCTACAGACGTACTTGGTTATTTAAGTAGAGCAAGGCAAACACTCATATATTAATTTGACTAAGAGATGCCTAGCAGAAGTAAATCTGAAAATACTTGAAAACTTCAAACACTAAGGAGGAACATGAATCACTTTTGGTACTAGAAGGCTGAAGAACTATTGTAGGATGCGATTGAGAGTTGGAAAATTTGGGTAAGAGAAAGAAGAAAGTGCTGCTGAGGAGAGATCTACCAAATAGACAAAAAATTTTGTCCAAATAAAAAATCACTCTCTTAGATATGTAAACTTAAGGCAGAAGTATTTGGAAATGAGTTGCAGACTTTGCACTGTCTCCTTTGGTAATTTTTATATACATTAATTTTTATACTTGGAGTCTCATGTGGGATTTCCTGGTCCCTTCCCAGTCTGCAGGCTTCACAGACTATTGGGTAGTATAAGAGTAATTCTGCTTCTTTGCTGCTAATTTTAAATGTTAGCAACAAAGTAATACATGTGTACGTTTTATATTCTCCAGGCAGTCAAAAAAGGAAATCTTCTGAGATTTCTTTGGAGATTATCTCAGCCATCTTAAAATACAGCTAGTATGTACTGTTCTGTAGCACTCACCCTTACTACCCATCACTGATTCATCCTGCTGTGCAGTACAACACACCAGGAGGTTTGTGTAATTGTGTCTGTAAGTAGAGACAAGTAATTTGAAAACGGTGATGCTGACAACTCTGTCTGGGGATGGACACTTTGGTAGCAGAGGCTGTAGGGATCCAAGCCCTGTTCTGCTGCCACTCCCAGAGCCTTCAGATTGCTGCCTCCTTAGAACAGCACTTTGGGTTTTATTTTTGATCTGCCAAGTAAAATAAATAGACACGTGCTATCACACAAGCTCAACTTTTATGCCTGTAGGGAAGAAATGCTAAAAACCAAACCAGTTTCATAAGTTCAGTTTATAGGCTTAGCTTATAAAAGTTAAGGATTCCCATAGCTCCTGCACTTTGGGTACAAATTTGGGTGGTAAATATAAAAACTTTCCAAACACCTTCACAAACCACCTGCTCTGATATTTAAACTGTATATAATTTATTACTGCAGTAATTCATAATAACTGGAACCCTACAACTCTCCGTTTGCATTCATTTTCTGAGCTGAGTTACAAGCCTCTGAAATCACTGAAAGTTTTACATGTGACATTTTTGGGCTTTGACACCTGACACAAAAGCCTCACAAGAAGGCAAAGATGTGTCTTGCAGAGAGTCTGCACTGCAATAATAAATCCACATGGCTGAAATGAAATTCGGCACTGGAGAAGCAGCTTCATGGAAAATGGGTTGTGTCTGCTTTTTAAATCACGGTGCTTGTCCTCCTGAAGCAGGTACAAATACATATACAGAAGCATATACAGATACATACAGTGCAGATACACTATTGCAGAATCATTTAGGTTGGAAAAGACCTCTGAGATCATTGAGTCCAACCTTTGGCCTTGTCAACTAGACTGTGGCACTGAGTGCCACATCCAGTCGTTTCTTGAACACCTTCAGGGATGGTGATTCCACCAACTCCCCTGGGCAGTCCATTCCAATGCTTAACAACTGTTTTGATGAAGAAATTATTCCTGATGTCCAGCCTGAATCCCCTGGCAGAGCTTGAGGCCAACTCCTCTTGTCCTGTCACTTGTTACCTGGGAGAAGAGGCTGACCCCTGCCTGGCTACAACCTCCTTTCATGTAGATGTAGAGAGCAATACAGTCCCCCCTGACCCTCCTTTTCTCCAGCCTAAACATCCCCAGCTCCCTCAGCTGCTTCTTATTGGATTTGTCCTCCAAACCCTTCACCCGCATCCTTGCCCTCCTCTGGACTTGCTCCAGCACCTCAATGTCTTTCCTGAATTGAGGGGCCCAGAACTGGACACAGCACTCAAAACACTACATAAACATAAGGCATAATCTTCTCCACACACACTTTTCCTCTCAGGCAGTATTTCTCCTTGGCTTTGCATCACAGAGCTATTCTCTTCAGACTGTTCTTCGTTACTGGAGGGCTTGTTTGACAGTATTTTTATGGCCAGAGGGCTATCGGTATTTGAAGTCTCCAGGGGAGGGATTGGGCTGTTTGCAATTCCAGGCAATGCAATCCAGCTCCTCAGAGGTGCTGCATTATCGGGAGGCGCCATTTACATTCCCAGACTGACATTCACGTTCTCAGGTGTCACTGAGGGCTGGCAGTCACCCCCAGACATGTCAGGCTTCTGTCCAACAGCCTTGTGCCTTTAAAGAGGCTGAGCACAGGCAAGAGGTAGCTGGATGGGCATAATGTCTGTGGAAGGTTTTACATCCGTTTGCTCCTGGGTTTAAGGCTCAAATACTCTATCATTTACTTCTCCAGGGAACATTGGCTAGCTTGCAAATTAGCAGAGTATTTTCAGTCAAAAGCTCGAATATAGAACCCAGCAAAAATGACAGCATTCCTTATTATCCTATGAAAATCAAAACCTTTTCTGCCTTGTTGACCTATTTCAGTTGTGATACATTGGCCTAACAAATGAAAAGTGAGGAGGAAAAGTAAAAGGGGAAAAAAATTATACTGGTAAGATTTGCTGCACAAAGATTAGCTGCATTTCTTCTCAAGTTACATTCAGAGTAATATTTTATATAAGCTCTCTCTTCTAATTCAAAGCTAGGGTTCCTGGGCTTTTTTCTTTTCTGTTAATTTGATAGATAAAAAAAGCAACACCTTCTTTTTAGCAAGGGGGGGGGGTTGTTTGTTTGTTTGTGGTTTTTGTTTGGTTAGTTGGTTGGTTTTTGGTAGCTTTCAATTCTCTTTCTTGAAAGAGCTTTTTAAAGATACTGGTTTCTAGACAGAGTATACCAGGGAAGAGTATCCTGCATTTCTCATTTAGCTTTGGCACTGTGGAACCCATTCCTTTCTTTTGCTTGTCCTTGGTGGTAGAGGCTCTTGAGGGCATGGCTGCCCCTTCTAATTATTTACACAGAATTTCTTTGTGGGGGGTAAGGAGAGCTGCCTTCAGTGTGATTCTCTGCAAGGTGTTGCTCTTCTTCCACAAAGGTGGGTGTGTGCCTGTATAAACACATGGATTTGGCACCCACCTTTTGCAAACACAACAACTGGTTAGTGAGTAATTTCAAACACCATCAGGTCCTTAAGAAAGAGGTCTCATGATACCAGGCCTTTATTTCCGTGGTGAGAGGCTGCTCTTTGCATCCCTGGAGCTCTGGGCAGGGAGGATGGCACCACTGTGAAACTGCCTTTACAAGCTGCCTTGGCAGGGAAGTGACCATCAGTCAGGTCATTGGTTTATCTGTACAGATAGAATGGATGGCATCCATTTTATT